CTGGCTTTGAACCGTGATCCTCAGCTCTCAGCCTCCTGCATAGCTAGGATTACAGGCGTGAGCCACCGGTGCCCGGCTTAGTGCTACACTTAAGTACATAAAGGATGAGGAAGTATGGCCCATGCTGTATCTCTGTTTAGCTTTCCAGTATGGATCCTGAAGTAACTGGATGAGTCCTAGACCATGCCTACGGACTACTGCTCGTCATACCTCCTGTGCTGAACATAGCATTTTTGCCAGGGTAAATTTGTGCCTCCTAAGGCATGTGGTTTGCAGCATTCATCTAATGAATGTGTTCTTGTCTACCCTAATCAGAACATAATTCCTATTCACACATAATGAGTAACAGATGTTCACACTTTTGCCATAGAGCTACCTTTACTTAACAGAGTCCTGTCATAATTCAGTCCAAAGAGAACTGGAAAATCTGGTCATCATTCCAATGACTTCCTGGGCATTTCTGTCCCCACAATTCTGAATTCTGTAGAGTTAGAGGCCCAGGGTCCCCAGATGGACATACTTTAGCCCATAGATACAACAGAGGTTCCCAAGTGCTGGCTGCTAGCTAAATGGTTAGAGAGCAGGTGGTAAGAAAAGGAAAGGCCATCTCAGGAAAAGTCAGCTAAGGGAAGTAAGGTTGTTCCATACTGGGGACAGAATGGAATGTGTTTGGAACCCCAGGGATGGATTTAAGTGTCTCTTTGTTCTTTACTTAACTGTGATTGAATGACTATGACAAGAACAGCACCTTTACTGGAGAATGTGCTTAGACCCCTTAAGAATGAGCACTGGGGCTCCCAGTCTGGTAGCTACTAAGATCTGCTGAAGTGCTAGAGCAGGGTGAGGGGTATTAGCATCCACAGTGCAGGGTGTGGGGGGGGGGCGGGGGGGGGGGTAGAATAAGGGCCACTGCACTTGTTTCCCTGCACTGAGTTTCCTTGTAGGAAGAGAGGTTCTAAAAGAGCTGCTTCCCTAGTACAATGGAGAAGGAGGATCACATGGTATCAACTATTGTTCATGCTTGGCACCACGTGACCTTCCCTCTCCACTAGTCAAGCATGGACTTTAGCTGACACCACACTCACATTCTTGTTGTTTGGCTTCCAGGAGTGTGTTGCTGATAGCCTTCAGGCTTAACTATTCTGGAGTCACTTTCCAGCCAAACTGGTATTTTCCTTGTGACTCCAAAGCAATGTATAGGACTTTGTTTTTCCCCCAGGGTAGACTCCTGCTCGGGGAGCTCCCCAGTCTGACACAGACTATCTCCTTTGACTTTCTGTGCTGTTTCCTCTGCATTCTTCTACTACTCCCCTCGTTTTTTCTCCTTGGTGTTCCTGCCTTAGCCTTCCCAGTATTGGGATTATAAGTAGGTACCACCACACCTGGCCACTTCAGCACCTATGTTCGTGTCAGTAGCTCCTTCCTGAGAGGCTGACCACATCCATGGTTCTAAAATTCCTTACTTCCAAAACCCTAAGTATCTTCTTTGCCCTCCCCTTCCACAACCAAAATGGTTTCTTTTGAGATAAGCCTTATCTAATTACACACACACACACACACACACACACACAATTACATACAGGCCTATGTTTGTGGGAATAGAAAGAACTCAGGGCCTCATGCAAGCTAGGCAAGAACTCTACCACTGAGCTATTTCCCCAGTCCTCCAATTGATTTTTTTTTTTTTTTTTTTTGGTCGGTCATGGGGCTTGAACTCTGGGCTTGGTCACTGTCCCTGTGCTCTTCAGCTCAGGGTGAGCGCTCTACCGCTTGAGCCACAGTGCCACTTCTGGTTTTCTAGTGGTATATTGGAGATAAGAGTCTCATGGACTTTCCTGCCCAGGCTGGCTTTGAACTGTGATCCTCAGATCTCAGCCTCCTGCATAGCTAGGATTACAGGTGTGAGCCACCGGTGCCTGCCTCTCCAATTGATTTCTATGACTTCAAATAGAGGGGAATTATTTACTACCTGTACAACTCTTCATTCTTTAACTCTTGAATGCCTGCTGTGGCATTCAGCCACATACTTGTATACTTTTTTGTTGTTGTTGTTATTGTTGATCTTGGGGCTTGAACTCTGGGCCTGGGTGCTGTCCCTCAGCTCAAGGCTACCACTCTACCACGTGAGCCACAGCACCACTTCTAGCTTTTTCTGCTTATGTGATGCTAAGGAATCAAACCCAGAGCCTCATGCATGCCAGGCAAGCACTCTACCTCTGAGCCACCTTCCAAGCCTAGATTCCTGTATACTTTAACACTTATTTGTGTTTCCCCCAAACATTCTTTGAGTATGGGAGAATGTTTCTTAGATGTCTACATGTTCAGAGTGACTGATCTATGGTTGCATAGAAGGTTATCAGTAAATACAATGAATTCATTGAACTCAAGTGATTTTCTAGTAAAAGGTCCCTAGGAACCTGTCAGACTACAAAAAAGTCCAACTATAGATGCAGCATGTACAGCCAATGGAGTCAGATAATGTGGACCCAGGTCTGGCTGGTTTTCATACCAAAGATTCTATTTCTATTTGTATTTCTATTTCTTTCTTTCTTTTTTGTCGGTTGTGCTCTGGGCCTGGGCACTGTTCCTCAGCTCTTCAGCTCAAGGCTAGCACTCTACCACTTGAGTCACACTGCCACTTTTGGTTTTCAGAGTGGTTTATTGGAGATAAGAGTCTCACAGACTCTCCTGCCTGGGCTGGTTTTGAACTGTGATCCTCATATCTCAGCCTCCTGAGTAGCTAGGATTACAGGTGTAAGCTACCAGTGCCCAGCTTTCTATTTCTCTCTCTGTGTGTGTGTGTGCGTGTGTGTGTGTGTGTGTGTGTCTGTCTGTCTGTCTATGTGCACATGTTGGTACTGGGCTTGAACTTAGGGCGCTATCCCTTTAGGTTTTTCTCTCAAGAGAAAAAAGTGGCATTCTGCCACTTGAGTCATAGCTCACTTCTGTTGTTTTACTAGTTTGTGGGAGATGAGAGTCTTAAAGACTTTTCTGCCCAGTATTCTTACCTGAATTCTCAGATCTCAGTGTCTAGACTAGACTTGGAACTATTTGAAAAAGATGGGCTGGGCATGTAGCTTAGTGGTAGAGTGCTTCCCAACATGCATGAAGCCCTGGGTTCAATTCCTCAGTACCACATACATCGAAAAAGCTGGAAGTGGTGGCACTGTGGCTTGAGTGGTAGAGTGCTTATCTTGAACAAAAGAAGTTCAGGAGGGCTGGGAAGGTGGCTCAGTGGTAAAGTGTTTGTCTTGCATGCATGAAGCCCTGGGTTCAATTCTTCAGCACCATGTAAGCAAAAAGAAAAAAGCTGGAAGTGGCTCTGTAGCTCAAGTGGTAGAGCGCTAGCCTTGAGCTGAAGAGCTGAGGGACAGAGCCCAGGCCCAGAGTTCAGGCCCCATGACCGGACCAAAAAAAAAAAAAAAGTTCAGGGACAGTGCTCAGGCCCTGAGTTCAAGCCCCAGAACTGGCAAAAAAAAGAAAAGAAAAGAAAAAAAGAAAGAAAGAAAGACAAAAGAATATGAAGCACTAAGGCATTGTGCCTTTGAGTTTCTCTCTTTTGTGGTTCTCTCCCACCCCCTCCCCTTTTTGTCACTGTTTTTTTATTTCTGTATCCTTTGTCTTATATATGTTTAGCTGGTTTGGGGAGGGGAAGCACAGAAACAGTGGGACAAAGGGTGAACTAATACAGCAGTGATACGCACTAGACACTATATTGGAAATGAGCTATACAACTTGGGGAGGACAGAAGGAAAGGGAAAAACTGGGAGAAAATGAGGGAGGGGGTGACATTATTCAAAAAGAAATGCACTCATTACTTATGTAACTATAACCTCTCTGTACATCACCTTCACAATTGAAAAAAAAAAAAATAGCTGGACGCTGGTGGCTGTAATCCTAGCTACTCTGGAGGCTGAGGTCTGAGGATCACAGTTCAAAGCCAGCCTGGGCAGGAAAGTCTGTGAGACTCTTATCTCCAGTAAATCACTAGAAAACCAGAAGTGGCACTGTGGCTCAAGCGGTAGAGCGCTGGCCTTGAGCTGAAGAGCACAGGGACAGTGACCAAGCCCAGAGTTCAAGCCCCATGATGGACAAAAAAGAATATCCTCTTTTGGGGTCTCACTGTGTGTAGCTAGAATTATGTATAGTTTATCATATTCCAGTGTATTTTATATCTTATTTTCACATATCAGGGAGAATATGCACCTTTTGTCTTTCTGAGCTTTGCTTACCTCACTTAACATGATCTGTTCTAGTTCCATCCATTTCCCTGCAAATGACATTATTATAGTCTTTCTAATGGCTGCGTAAAGTTCCATTATGCATAGGTACCACATTTTTTGACCCATCATCTATTGCGGGCATCTGGGCTGTTTCCATATTTTGGCTATTGTGAATAGTGCAGCAGTGAACATAGATGTGCAAATGTCTTTATTATATTCTGGTTTGTGATGTTCTGGGTAGATGCCAGGAGTAGTATGGCTGGGTCATGGGATAGGTCTATGTTTAGTTTTTGAAAAACTCCATACTGCGGTCCATGGTGGTTGTACTAGTTTACATTCTCTCCTACAGTGCAGTAGGGTTGCTTTTCCCCCACAACCTTGCTAACATTAGTTGTTCCAATTTACAATGTTGGCCAATCTAACTGGGGTAAGATGGAATCTCAGAGTTGTTTTGATTTGCATTTCCTTTATGGTCAGGGATGATGAACATTTTCTCATGTTTCTTTGTCCATTTTACATCTTTTAAGAAGTCTTTCCTTAGCTCCCTTGCCCATTTAATGATTGGTTTAATAGGTTTGGGAGGAATTAGTTTCTTGAGCTCCTTGTATATATTGGATATTAGGCTTTTGTCTGATATTGCTGGTAAAGATCTTCTCCTTCCATGACAAACAAAATTAAAAGAATTCATGACCACTAACCCAGCATTATAAAGAATTCTAAAGGGAGGAATACAATCTGAAGAAAATAATCAAAATCAAAGAAACATATCGGGCCAAATCACTAGAAGATCAATTTAATAATTACAGGAAGAGGAAAAAGCAAAATACAGGAAATTATGACACATCTCTCTATAATAACCCTAACCATTCTTGGACTTAGTTCTCCAATCAAAAGAAGAATAGCAAATTGAATAAAAAACCAAGATCTATCCAATGTTTGTGTTCTGTTTTGTGTTAATTTTGAATTAAAACTTCCACTAATTATAATAAATATCTTTTAATATATTACCTGTATGTCATATTTATTAAATAAATAAAATATATCGATCTCTGATCTTAGATAAAAAATTCAGATACAGACATTTGCACAAAATAGCATAGCATTAACTATAAAAAACCATCAAGAGGGGCTGGGGGTTTAGCTCAGCGGAAGGGTGCCTACTGGCGCGCTCAAGGCCCTGGGTTCGGTCCTCAGCCCTGGGGAAAAAAAAAAAAACATCAAGAACATCATAAAGGCTGTCAAACTAACTTATAACAGAAAACAGCCCTATTGCAAAGACGAAGAGGAGGAGGAGGAGGAGGCAGCGGCGGCGCCAGACTCCCAAGCTTAGAGTCTCTCCTCCACCACCCCGCAAAAATAAATAAAGACAAGGAATAAAATAGCATATAAAACCTTTCTAGTATTTTACCATTATTTGCTCCGTAGAAAAAGCGGTTACATTTCAGGCACAAAAATAACAAAAATCACTTCTATGTAGACCTTCAAAAAAAGAGCGAGGGACCTTCTGTTGGCTCTCTTCCTGGGTTAGCTATGTCCTTAGCTGTGCAGAAACTTGTTACAGTGATGTAGTCCCACGTGTCATGTCTCTCTCCTATCTGTGGGGTTCAGGGGACTCTTCAAGAAGTTTCTACCTGTAAGTTCTGTTTCTCCTTCTCTGGCAGTAATTTCAGTTTCGGGTCTGACGCAGCGATCTCGATCCACTTCGAATTGGTATTAGTGCCTGGTGACCCACTGAGATCCACTTTCAGTTTTCTGCATATGGATGTACTGTTTTTTTTTTTTTAATGCTAACAACAAGGGATAGATCCCCTGCCCCCCGCCCCCACCCCGCAGGTGAGTGAGCAGGAAATGCACCCCTACCCCACCCCAGTTAAGAGCAGTCTTCGGGGGGCTCCTGCTTTAGTCAGCAAAGGCAAATTTACAGACTTATTTTTTTTTAACCTCTGCTATCACACCAAGGTTTTCACTTAGAAACAGTCTTCATGTCACATCTAGGGGAGACGGGGCGGGGGGGGGGGGGGGGGGGAAGGCACCGGTCGGAAATCTTGGGCTATCCGTACTTGTCCACTTGCGACTTCTCGCCATCAGGAGACTGAAAAAGCTGTGATTTGGGGGTGGGGGGAGACACCCCAAAGTCGGCAGTTATAAGCAAATCCGAACGAGAAGAAAAGGGCATAAAGTCACCAACACGTCGATCTTTCAGAGAGGGTGCAACTCAAGTCACCCTAAAACCAAGCTCATCCGCCACCGGGGTCCGGGGATCCGTGTTTGGGGAGCCCTGGGTGGCGGGACGCGTTAGCTCGGGTTACTTCCCCGGGTGCAGACCTGGCGCTGACCCCGGAGGGGTGGGGAGATGGGTGGGGAAGACGGGTTTTCCTAGCGCGGCTCCCGAAGGGTCCGCTCTTTCCGGAGAGGGGTGGGGCCGCTCTAGTGGGGCCCTGGGGCGTGTCGCCCGCCTCCGGGGCTGGCCCGCACCGACCTCCACCGCGGAGTCCCAGGACCCATCTTCAACTTCCTCTTCTTACCCGAGAGGAGGCGTCGCGGGGCGCAGCTGGGACCGAGAGAAGGGACCCGGCCAGCTGTGGCCGCCGCCGCCGGCCGCGATCGCGGGGCAGAGAGGCGGGGGTGCGCGATCGATTCCTCCCCTGGCCGTCGCGCGGCTGGCTCTCCGCGGGATCGCCGGGCCCCGAACTCCCGGGACGCTCCGGACGAATCGGAATCGGAAACCGAAAGCGCGCGCGCCCCGCGCCCGGCACCGCCCGCGCCCGCCCCGGGAACCCGGCTAAGTTCCGATTCTCCGTTCCCGCGCGAGTCCCCGCGCGAGTGTCCGTCATGGCGGACCCGGAGGTGTGCAGCTTCATCGTCAAGGTCCTGTGCGCCCACGGGGGCCGCATGACCCTGGACGCGCTCCTGGAGGAGATCGCGCTCTCCCAGGGCCAGCTCCGCCAGGTGCTGGAGGACGCCGGGCCCGACCGCTTCGTGCTGCTCCAGACCCGCAGCAGCACCGGCAGCACCTGGTCGGTGGTGGCCAACACTCGAGCCCGCGTCTGCCGTCGCAAGTACTGCGAGCGAGGCTGCGACAACCTGCACCTCTGCAAGCTCAACCTGCTGGGCCGGTGCCATTACACGCAGGCGGATCGGTGAGTGCTCCCGCCCCGGGGCGGGCCCGCGCCTTTCCGCCTCTGCGAGGGGTCCCCTGCCGATCGGCGCCCCTGCCTCGTTCCCGGTGTGTGGCCAGAGCCACACTTCCCTGCGGGGTGGGAGGCAGATCTCGGGTTAGCTGGCGTCGTTTCCTCCTTTACTCGGGTCCCGGAACGGGTGGAGATCCTCCCAGATCGCCAGCAGCACTACCCCGGACCGGCGTCGGTCCACACCGCACGTAGCCGCTCAGCCGCGGCTCCTCCTGACCGCCGCCGGGCCGACAAGGCCCTTTTCAGAGTGACCCGAGATAAAAGCCCCCTCGCCCCCTTCCCGGGCCGCCCGCACGGGGGGCCAGCCCCGTGCGCCCTCCCCAGGACCACCCTCCAGCCCACGCTTCCCCCGCGGTCGCCCTCTGCTCTTGAAGCTCTTATTTTGATTTTTTTTTTTCATTTTTTGTGCTGCTCCCAGGTCTTGAACCCAGGGCCTCCAGCTCCGGCTTAGCTTTTCTTCCCCCCCTCCCCCCCTCCAAGGCTGGAGCTCTATCACTTGGATTCCCACCTCCCCTCCTGGCTTCTTGCTGGTTAATTGTGGAGATTAGAGTCTCCTGAGTGGCTGGGGTGACAGACCTGAGCCACCGGTGCCTGGCAAGCCTTGTGATTCAGTTCTTCCTGGAGCGCTGGCCCCACGTACCCAAGGCCTGGGGTGATCTCCAGCCTTGTTAAACAACTACAAAAAGGAGTCAAACATCGGGTGAGGGGTTTACATGTCACACACCTAGGATGGTGACACCGATGATGGCGTGACAAGTAGATGGTGATGACAAGATGGCTTCCAAATACACACTCGCTGCTCAGGCCTGCTCTCTTGGATTCCGGGGTCCGAGGAATTGAGCAATCTTGTGACCACACTGGTCAGCTCCCTCCGGGCAGGCTCTCCGACCTGTGCTCCAGTTTCTTCTCCTCCCTCCTATCTTCCTCCTTCCTTCTCCTCCTGTCTGCCCCTCTCCCTCCTTTTCTTCCTACTCCCCCCCTTCCTCTCCACCCCTGTCTTTCCCTTCCCCTCCCTTCCTTCTCCCCATCTGCCCCTCCCCCATCTCACTTGAGATTGAAAGGCTCATTAATGAATCTCTGTCCTTCACATCTTTTCTGTCGGTAGGTTCTATCTACTCAAAAAGGAAAACAGCAACAATATAGGTAACTGATAAAGGTAAAACGTTTGTCCTTAAATCTTTAGGTGAAGCTGGGCACTGGTGGCTTACACCTGTAATCCCAGCTATTCAGGAGGCTGAGATCTGAGGATCAGGGTTCTAAGCCAGCCTCTGAAGAAAAGTCTCCACAAGACTCCTATCTCCAATAAACTACTCAAAAAAAGCTGGCAGTAGCCTTGTGGCTCAAGTTATAGGGTGCTAGCCTTGAGCATAAAGAGGCTCAGAGACCTGTGCCTAGGCCCCAGGGCCAGAAAAAAAAAAAAAAAAAGCTTTAGCTGGTGCCCAGTATTCAAAAAGATGGTCATCAAACAGTTGGTCATGAACTTACTAGCAAAAAACCTAGTTTCTCACCTTAATTTGTGTGTAATAAAACATACAAAGAGTTTTAAATAGATGGAGTGGATGAGATGATCTTTTTTTTTTTTCCCCAAGAAATTTACTAGATTAGAATGCTTAAAAAGAAAACTTAATTCTTTTAGTTGCTAGGATGGACTCTCCTAATAAAATATGTATTTAATATGTTGTGGCTGTGGGCCGGTGGGTGGCTCACGCCTGTAATCCTAGCTACTCAGGAGGCTGAGATCTAAGGATTGTGGTTTAAAAGTCCCCCCCCCCCCCCAACTGTTATCTCTAATTAATTACCTGAAAAACAAAAGTAGAACTGTTGCTCAAAAGTGGTAAACTGCTACTCTTGAGCACAAAAGCTCAGTGTTAATGCTCAGACCCTGAGTTCAAGCCCCATGAAAAAAGAAAAAATGTATTTCTGAGTTGCCAGAACTTGTATCTAGAAGGCAACTAAGTTACCAGCAATTCCATTAAGCAGGAAAAGGAGACTGGGTAGAGAAGAGAAAAGGAAAGAACATTCTAGCACATTCTTCTACTGTTGTGAGTAACAACCAGTCACAAGGTTTCCTGATCTGTTTTTTTTTGTTTTTGTTTTTGAAAATTCTTTCACCAACCAATGTTGACTTTTGGTTTTACAAGTCTTTTTCTCAGTTTTTTTTTTTTGGGGGGGGGGTGGGGGGAGGAGAGTCAGTCATAGGGCCTGAACTTGGCCAGGGCATTGTCCATCAGCTCTTCAGCTCAAGGCTAGCCCTCTACCACTTGAGCCACAGTGCTACTTCTGGCTTTTTCTGCTTATGTGGTGCTGAGGAATGGAACCCAGGGGCCTAATGCATGCAAGGCAAGCCCTCTACCACTGAGCCACCTTCCCAACCCCATGTCCATCATTTTGACTCATCAGTTTTCAAAATATGGCTGGTCTTGTTTATTTTGCCTTCTCTACACTATCCTGAACTCAATGAGTTTTTAAAATCCTAGCAGTCATTTGCTTCATAATTTTGGTAATTATATCTAACAGATAAAAATCTATGTTTTATTAGAGTAATCATAGTACACCTACCTTTTTTTTTCTTTCAGATCTTGGGGCTTGAACTCAGGGAGTTGGTGCTGTCTCTGAAATTTTTTGCACCAGGCTGGTGCTCTGCCACTTGAGCTACAGCTCTACTTTGTGCTTTTTGGTATTTAATTGGAGATAAAAGTCTCATGGACTTTCCTGTTCGGGGTGACTTTGAACCTCCGTCCTCAGATCTCAACTTCCTGAGTAGTTAGGATTACAGGTCCAAGTCACCAGCTCCTGGACTTAGACAGGATTTTGTTCTGTCCTATAATTTCTCTCTTTTTTTTTTTTTTTTTGGGTCCGGTCGTGGGGCCTGAACTCTGGGCCTGGGCGCTGTCCCTCAGCTCTTCAGCTCAAGGCTAGTGCTCTACCACTTGAGCTACAGCACCACTTCCGGCTTTTTTCTTATGTGGTGCTGAGGAATCGAACCCAGGGCCTCAGGCATGCAAGGCAAAAGCACTCTACCACTGAGCCAACTTCCCAGGCCCTGTCCTATAATTTCTGTCTGTTCTTTTTCTTTTCTTTTTTTTTTTTCCCCCTGCTTTTTCAATGCTTTAACCTGTACTTTTCAGTTGATAATCAGGCTCGCTTAGGTGTTATAGAATTGTTTCTCTTGGGGCTGGGAAGGTGGCTCAGTGGTAGAGTCCTTGCCTTGCATGCATGAGGCCCTGGGTTGGATTCCTCAGCACCACATAAGCAGAGAAAGCTCGAAGTGGCGCTGTGGCTCAAGTGGTAGAGCACTAGCCTTGAGCTGAAGAGCTGAGGGACAGTGCCCAGGCCCAGAGTTCAGGCACCATAAGTGGCAAAAAAACCCCAAAAAAACAACACAACAAAAATTGTTTCTCTTGGCACATTAGTTTTGATATTAAATTTTGCTTTGCTGAAGTAATATTCCCACATATGGAAAACAAACTCCAGCTCTGACATCAATAACTACCACTTATTGAACAAATCATTAAGTACCAAGCTCTGAGATAAGCTTGTTAGAGATGTTATCTCAATTCATCGAAGTGAGTGTGATCTAGGAAGTGTGATCTCGCATCAGTTCAGGTTATTGTTTTTGCAAGCACCATTGATGGTTAACTGTTTCAAGTCAGCTGGTAGTGCCTTCCACGGGCTCTGTGGTTTATGCCAATGTGGGTGTTTCCTCCTCTTGCTTTCCTGTTTGTGTGCCTTTGCCTTTCTCTTTTAGTTGAAACGTTAGGTGGGGGTGGGTAAATAAGAAGAAGACCAGTTGTTTCATATATTGAGAGGAAGAATATTGAAATGCACAAAGAATAAGAGAACGTATGTGTACTCTGAATATATACCAGAGAGATTGGGAATGTGGCTTAGTGGCAGAGTGCTTACCTAGAATGCAAGAAGCCGTGGGTTTGATTCCTCAGTACCACATAAACAGAAAAAGCCAGAAGTGGTACTCTGTGGTAAAGTGCTAGCCTTGAGCAAAAGAAGCTCAGAGACAGTGCCCAGGCCCTGAGTTCAAGCCCTAGAACTGGCAATAAATAAAACACACACACACACACACACACACACACACACACACACAGAAATGATAGAGAATATACTTGTAACTCACCTCTCAGAAGTAACTCATCTCTCAGAATGAATGTTTACCTTTTTCATTTTTGTTCCTTAGCTGTACAAAGGAAATAACTTCTGGGACATGGAGATAGTAAGGATTGCGGTTCCAGGCCAGCCAGGGCAGAAAGTTAGCTGTTTCTATTTCTGTCATTCCAGCTGTGCGGGAAGCACGAATGGAAGGATTGTGATCCAGCTTGGGTCTAAGCTAAGACCCTATCTGAAAAATAAGGCAAAAGTCTGGCGCTGGTGGCTTACTCCTGGAATCCTAGCTACCCAGGAGGCTGAGATCTGAGGATCTCGGCTCAAAGCCAGCCCCAGCAGAAAAGTCTGGGAGACTCCAGAAGTGGCACTGTGGCTTGCCTTGAGCTGAAGAGCTGAGGGACAGCGCCCAGGCCCAGAGTTCAAGCCCCACGACCGACCAAAAAAAAAAAAAAATGGCATAGTGTCTAGTCTACCAGGCTCTGAGTTCAAACCCCAGTACTGCCAAATAAATAAGTAAATAAATATGTAAATAAAAGTAAAATAGGCCTTGGCACTTTTGTTTTTTAAATTCCCTTCATTTCATTCTCCTCTTTTCCCAGAAGTAACCCCAATTGTGATTTTAGTATCCTGCTCTTTTAGGATTTTTAAATTTCTTCATGTATATATGTGTATCATATATATGTGTGTATCTATTCAAAAGTGAAGATTAATGTGTTCTAGAATTTTCATTCAGTATTGTTTTGAAGTTGTAGTCATGTTGACATTAGGAGCGACTACTTTTGTTTTTCTCCCTCCCCTCCCTCCTTTTTCCTTCCGCTTCTCTGTCCTGTCTTCTTCCCTTCTCTCTTCTTTCCTCCCTCCCCTTCTTCCTCTCTCCTCCCCTATCCTCCCCTAGCTTCTTTTCTCCCCTCCCCTCCCCTCCCCTCCCCTCCTGACTTTCCCCTCCCCTCCCCTTCACTTGTAGCACAAATTTTATTTAATTTAGTTTATTTATTTATTTTTGGGTCCGGTCGTGGGGCCTGAACTCTGGGCCTGGGCGCTGTCCCTCAGCTCTTCAGCTCAAGGCTAGCGCTCTACCACTTGAGCCACAGCGCCACTTCCGGCTTTTTTCTTTTTGCTTATGTGGTGCTGAGGAATCGAACCCAGGGCCTCAGGCATGCAAGGCAAGCACTCTACCACTGAGCCACCTTCCCAGCCCCCTCCAGATTGTTTTCTAAAGAGTGTTTTCCAAGTTGTTCTCCACCCAGTTGACAACATTCCCATGCTGAGTCCCTGCCATGAGGTTTCGTGAGTCTTTTGAAATTTGGGCCAATACAGAACTATGAAATTGTATCATAGTGGTTTTTATTTTATTTTTTGGGGGGTCCGGTCATGGGGCCTGAACTCTGGGCCTGGGCGCTGTTCCTCAGCTCTTCAGCTCAAGGCTAGCGCTCTACCACTTGAGCCACAGTGCCACTTTGGGCTTTTTTTTTTTTTCTTTTTGCTTATGTGGTGCTGAGTAATTGAACCCAGGGCCTCATGCATGCAAGCAAGCACTCTACCACTGAGCCACCTTCCCAGCCCTGGTTTTTATTTTTGTTTTATGTTTTCGTAGTATAGTGCAGGCAAGCTTCCAACTTGCTATTCCCTGGTATACTTGGGGTTACTTGCTAGGCAAGCACTCTACCATTTGAAGCATGCCTCATCCCTTTTTGCTTTAGGTTGTTTTTCAAATGAGTTTTGAGTTTTTGTCCCACCTGGTCTCTGATTGAGAACCTCTTATTTCTGTCTTCCAAGTAGTTGGGATTATAGGCATGCAACACCATACCAGATTCCCAGTTATCATTTAAGTTTGTCTTACTTGACTTTACTTTTTGGGGGGTCATTTTCACAGTTTACTTTTTAAAAAAAAATTTTATTGTAAAAATACCTTAGAGAGGGGTTACAATTACATGGGCAAGGTAATGAGTACATTTCTTATCAAGCATTTTTGCTTCCTCCTTTGTTTCCCCTCTCCATTCCTTCCCAACTCCTGCCCCTCCCACCCCCACCCCCCCTCACCAAAATTGTAAAGTTTGTTTTTCAACATAACGACTTGTACATCTCATTGTTTCAATGGGTCCACCTGTATCCCTATTTAAACGGTTTGTTTTTGCCCTTCCCCTCCATAAATTATACCAACATCAAATACAGTGAAAGCAGGGCTTAAACCGTGCGGGGGAGGGACATACAAAGCAACAAAGAAATCATCTTATAAATATGTTAGAAACAATTGCAAGAAAGAAAAACAAATTTGAATACTTATCTTAGGGTTCATTTCAGCTAACATCAACTTTTCTGACCTTTTCTGCTAGTCTCAGAGATAATACTAGTTATTGTAAATAAGGGAAACAATGGGACCTATGTTTCTTTGGGCCTGGCTTACTTCACTTAAAAATATGGAATGTTTCACGAATTTACATGTCATCTTTGCGCAGGGGCCATACTAATCTTCTCTGTAATCCTTCCAATTTTTAGTATATGTGCTGCCGAAGCGAACATTTTACTTTTGTTTATAGTACCCTTTATTCTATTTTATTATAAAATAATAAAGAGTTTTAAAATAAATAAATTACTTTTTTATGGTACTGAGGCTTTGACTCAGGGACTGGGCACTTGTTCCTTGGCTCTGTCATTGGAGCCACAGCTCCATTTCTAGCTTTTTGTGGTTACTTGGGATAAGAGTCTCCTGGGCTTTCCTGCCCAGGCTGGCTTTGAATTGTCATCCTCAGATCTCAGCCTCCTTTCTGAGATAAGATTACAGGTATGAGCCTCAGGCTTACTATTTGACTATTTAAAATAGCTAAAAACTCATTTTAAAAGTGTATACTTAAGCGCTGGAAATGTGGCTCAGTAGTAGAGTGCTTGCCTGATATGCAAGAAGCTCTGAGTCTCTTTCTTCAGTACCACATAAGTAAAAAAAGCCTGACGTGGCACTTTGGCTCAAGTGGTAGAGTGCTAGCTTTGAGCAAAAGAAGCTCACGTCCAGGCCCTGAAAAAAAAAAAGTGTACACTTCAGAGTTAGCAAACACATTCATGATGTTTTGCAACTATTATCACTATCAGATTACATCACCTTCCGAAGAACTCCACACCCAGCAAGGGTCATTCCTCCCTCAGCCCTTTCCCAGCTTCTAGAAATCTCCAATCCACTGTCTCTCTGTATGGATTTGTCTATACTAGACATTTGCTTGAGGTGGAATCCTATATGGCATTGCTGTTGGGTTCTGGGCATAGTAGGACATTTTCAAGGCTTGCATTTTGCCAGTACAAGTGCGCACACGTGCCATGCATGTGTGTGGGTGAACTTACCAGGAACACTCTTGCGGGAAGTTCCTTCTCTTAGTCATCTGAGTTGTGTCCCGGGTCACGTAGTCAGGCTGCGGCCCTGAGGACATGCTGTTTTCTCCACCCTGTGACACAAAGAGATGCACCCTATGGTTTAGAATCATTTGGGAATTTCCATTCTTTTCTGATTTGCTCCATTTTAATTTGATCACATGTGACTTTCCATGTCTGCAGTGTTCTGCAGAAATTAAGGTAAGAAGAAACTCGGTGGCATTACAAGGTTCCTGGGGGCTGGGAAGGTGGCTCAGTGGTAGAGCGCTTGCTTTGCATGCATGAGGCCCTGGGTCCATTCCTCAGCACCACATAAGCAGAAAAAGCTGGAAGTGGTGCTGTGGCTCAAGTGGTAGGGCGCCAGCCTTGAGCTGAAGAGTTCAAGGACAGCGCCAAGGCCCAGAGTTCAAGCCTCACAACCAACAACAACAACAACAACAAGAGGTTTCTGGAAACCATGATCAAAATCTTACATTGAGACAAATATGTATCTGGAAACAATACTTTCTAAGTTTTAGTAATACAGGGAGGGCAAAAATAAACATCTGAAATAAGTATATATTACTTTTCCGAGTGTTAAATGCTTTTAACTTGCTTTCTGTCCCTAATCATATTTATTGCCAGGAAGGAATCTGCTACTTTGGGATAGGTAAGGACCTAAATGGCAAGGCAGAGGTGTAAAAGACCCCAGGAGGACCCAGGATTTCTGGCTACTGAGATATCAGAATTTAATCAAGTTAGAGCAGGGGAGCTGGACTGAGGAGAGAGTAGAGGCCCTTTCCACTCTTTTCCCTCTAGAGAGAGCATTTAATACATTTCAGACCAACTCACTAGATGACACTGCCCCCTGAGTAGCTGGGACCACACGTGTGAGCCACCATACTCAGTAAACACTACTTTGGGCTATTCTTGGGATAGAGTCTTGACTGAGCCTAGAGCCTCAGTCCTTCTTTGTGTCTCTTGATTCTTGGAGTAGGTGGGATTACAGGTTTGCATCACACTACTCAATTTACCTTTCAAAGGAATTTATGTTGGGAAGTGTAACTGGGGAGAAGAGAAGACTGGGGTGACTTAGTTTCTCTGACCATCATTGTTTTGGCAATGCCACTGCCGACCCCTATCCTTTACTCTCTTCTCTTCCTCTGCTTTCCTTCAGCCCTGCTGTGGATTTAGGGCAATGCCTCCAAAATTTAGCTGCATGGCAGAATCCTTGGAGAATCTTTCAAAGTTCTTATCCCTAGATATTCTTACAGACTTCTGAAGGGTCTGAGTTAAACCTGGAGATTTACATTGTTTTAGTTTTCAAATTAAAAAAAAAAAATTGTTTGCAGAACCCAGGGCCTTGCACATGCTGGGCAAGCCATCCAGCACTGAGTTGTATTTCCAGGCAGGCACAGAGATTCTAGCAAAGGCCCTACGTGGCATTTGTCTTCAGTCTTGATATAACTGTAGAGTACGTACAGATCCTCAGCCTCTCCTCTGTCGCTACTCTATCTTAGATGGGTTGTGAGGTCCCTGCATAATCAAGGCTGCTTAGCTGTAGTTGTTTCTCCATACCGAGGCCAGCAGCCAGCTGAGGCTCAGTCATCTATCTGGATTCACTCACCTGGAGCTTGATTTCTGTCCAGCTTGCTCTGGGTAATAAAGCTGTGGTTAAAGTCAGCTGTTCTGCCAGCTCCACCCTTCCTCTCCCCACACTGCTCATGTGGTCTCTTGGTCTTGTTTCTCCCCACTGTTGTAGGCATCCTAGACCCAGTGACCCATCCGTACCCTCTCCTAACCCACTGACGTAATCTTTTTTTCTTTTTTGGTACCAGTTATAGGTTTTGAATCTCAGGGTCTAGGCATTGCCTCTGAACTTTTTTGTTCAAGGCTAGTCCTCAACCACTTCAGCCAAGGCTCTACTTTGTGCTGTTGGTGCTTAATTGGAGATAAGAGTCTCACAGACTTTCCTGTCCCCCGTTGGCTTTGAACTGCAATTCTCAGATCTCAGCCTCCTGAGTAGCTAGGATTACAGGCATGAGCCACCGGCGCCCAGCTGTTGTCTAGATTCTATCTTTTCACATTTTCTGGTCTTTTTTTTTTCTTGACTAGTTTATATTATCCCCCCTCTCCCAATAACCAGCTTTTTATTTTATTGATTGTGTGTGTGTGTAAAATAAATTTCGATTTCACCCATTTCTGCCTGGTTTTTACTATTTTTCTCCATCTTGTAGTTTGGGGTTTGGTTTGTTCCTGTTTTTCTAGAAGTTTATTTTTTATTTTATTTTTATTTTTTGGGTCCGGTCATAGGGCCTGAGCTCTGAGCCTGGGCGCTGTCCCTCAGCTCTTCAGCTCAAGGCTAGTACTCTACCACTTGAGCCACAGTGCCACTTCCGGCTTTTTTTTTCTGCTTATGTGGTGCTGAGGAATCGAACCCAGGGCCTCATGCATGCAAGGCAAGCGCTCTACCACTGAGCCACCTTCCCAGCCCATCTAGAAGTTTTTAGTTGCATTGTCAAGTTATTTATTTGGGAACTTTCTGTTCTTTTTTTGTTGTTGTTTGTTTGGTCAGTTGTGGGGTTTGAACTCTGGTTCTAGGCACTGTCTCTGAGCTCTTCAGCTCAAGGCAAGTGCTCTACCACTTAAGCCACAGTGCCACTTTCAGTTTTCTGGTGGCTTATTGAAGATAAGAGTCTCTCCAGGCATTGGTGGCTCACCTGTAATCCTAGCTACTCAGGAGTCTGAGATCTGAGAATCATAGTTCAAAGCTAGTCTGGGCAGGAAAGTCCATGAGACTCTGATTTCCAATTAACCACCAGAAAACCGGAAGTGGCTCTGTGGCTCAGGTGTTAGAGCACTAACTTTGAGCATAGCTTTGAGCTGAAGAGCTCAGGGACAGTGCTCACGCCCAGAGTTCAAGTTCCAGGTCGGACAAAAAAAAAAAAAAAAAAAAAGTCTCATGGACTTTCCTGCCTGGTCTGGCTTTGAACCACAGTCCTCAGATCTCAGCCTCCTTAGTAGCTAGGATTATAGACGTGAGCCACTGGCACCTGGCCTTTGTATGTAGGCACTCATAACTATGAACTTCCTCTTACCCTGCTTTTGCTATACTTTCATTTTCATTGTTTGCAGGAACTTTTTGACTTCTCTTTTCATTTCTTCAGTGACCTAGCTGTGTTTTTCAATCTCCATGTGTTTGAATATTTCCTATAGTAACTTGTTTTTTGGTGGTTGTGGGTCCTGAACTCTGGGCCTGGGCGCTGTCCCTCAGCTCTTCAGCTCAAAGCTAATACTCTACCACAGCACCACCTCCGGCTTTTTCTGCTTATGTGATGCTGAGGAGTTGAACCCAGGGCCTCATGCATGCAAGGCAAGCACTCTACCACTGAGCCACCTTCCCAGCCCCTCCTATAGTGTCTTTTAACTATCTCTGTGTGTGTGTGTGTGTGTGTGTGTGTGTGTGTGTGTGTGTGTGTGTGTTTTCATCAACTGCATAAGGTCAAGTGGGGAGAAAAGAAGAGGTATTTCAGTATATAAATGGCTATCAAAGGTTTCAGGTTATTGTCTTCCTTTGCAGTCTGCTATGTGACTGGCTCTGTGTTTACTGTCTTGGTGAGTTTTACTGTCTTGATGAGTTTGAGCGCTCAGAGGTGAACATCTGAACCTAGCCAGTGAGTCTCAAATCACCTGGAATCCCACTGCAGTCAAAGTAAACCAGTCTCAGGATGTGGCTGGGCTCAGGTATTTTTAAAAACTCTCCAGTGGGAGTGTTATCTGTGACCACGCTTAAGAACCCTGTGCAGGCTTACTGTGTAGACATGGGGCCTGGGAAAGCTTCACCCAGCTGGGTTAAAACATTTTATTCTGGGTATGGAATGGAAAAGCAGAAAGGTCATTTGATTTTTAGGCTTTGGCCTGGGATTCCTGAAAGAGAGATAATTCTGCCTCTTTCAAGGCCATCTTGGCCTATTTATTTATTTATTGTTGGTCGTGGGGCCTGAACTCTGGGCCTGGGCGCTGTCCCTCAGCTCTTCAGCTCAAGGTGAGCGTTCTGCCACCTGAGCTACAGTGCTACTTCTGGCTTTTTCTGCTTATGTGGTGCCTTCAAGGCAAGCGCTCTACCACTGAGCCACCTTCCCAGCCCTCCCCCCCCTTTTTTTTTTAATTTTTAAGTTACCA